TGTTGCTTCTTCTAGTCAGAGGCAAGAGATTTTGAAAGCAAAGTTGGCTTCTATTGCTACTAATTAGGAAATTATGGCTAATAAGCAAAGGGATATGTATGATCAGATGAAGGTTATAAGTACCAGGCAATATGACATGGGTGTTGATCTAAAAGCAATTATGGAGCTTCTGAAGCATAAACCTTATGCTTTAGGATTTAGTCACCCTTTGTTTTATCTTTTCTGAACTTGTGTTATACATCTCTTTTTACGTTAAATAAAAACTTTTCTTCAGTATCTTTTTTGTCCTTTTATTTATCTTTTTGTTGATGACAAAAAGGGGAGAGATAAAAGAGTATTTAAGCACCTAAATATGATTATTATTAGTGCTGATTAATTTCTGAAGATTAATATTATGATTCCGCTTTTAAAGGAATTTAATTAATCTGGATAAGATTTAGAGGGAGCTTACAAACCTCGCCCTCTGAACTATCAGACTCAGGCAGAGCTTACAAACCTCTGACCCTAAGGTCAACATGTTAATTAAATTAATAACCATTATTCTTAAATACTTATGTTTGTCATCGTAAAAAAGGGGAGATTGTTGAAACAAAAATGGTTGATACTATACCACTTGGGTTTTGATGATAACAAAGTATTTAAAGAACAATTGGACATTCTAACATATGTTCAAGTTTGCAAGTTTATAAGACTAAGAATAAATGAAGAGAAGCTTGAGGATTCTGATATAAAGTTCAGACTCTGGCTCTGAAGATCACTTAAAAAGACTCTAGCTCTGATGGTGACCCAGACTTTGAAGAAGTCAAATCTAAAGAAAGACATCCTCTGGTGACTCAGACTCTAAAGCTTCAGAAACCATAAAGTTGACTCTAATGTGATTAGCCTCTGAAGAGTGAATTCAACCTCTGAAGCATCTTCTCTTCTATCAAGGAAACTATGACAGAGTCATAGACTTTTTAATCATGTGAAGACTTAAGAAAAATTTTGTTGTCTAAGCTTCAACAGATAATTTCTCTTGCAGAAAGGTGCTTTCTTGATGTGTCTAATCAAGTACAAAGCTAGCCCAACCTTTTGGTGAAAGTATTCAACGTCTCTTTCTTCCTCTCTATTTAAGGAGAAGAAGATCTAAAGAAGAAGACTAATACATTGCAATACAAAACTATGAACATTGACATTTTAAAGAGAAGTCACTCTGTCAAAAAATAGCTAGACTTAGAACATCTTAACACTGTGTATATTTTAGAAATCTTAAGTCTTAGAGTCTTTTTAATTTTTATTTTGTCTACGCCTCAGATTGTATATCAATTGTGGTCGTTACCCAAATCTCTTAACAATTTGTTATAGAGTCAGAAGTCTCTTGCTTTAGTGTATGAGTGTTTGAAGTCTCTTGCCTGTGTGCTTGAGTATAAAAGTCTCTTACTTGAGGGTTTGAGCATTGGAAGTCTCTTGCTTGTTTGCTTGAGCATTGAAGTCTATTACTTGTGGATTTGAGCATTGGAAGTCTCTTGCTTGGTGATTGAGCATTCGTAATCAGTTTGGTTATAATGAAAATCCTTTGAAAGTGCAAGAGGACTTGACTAGTCTCAGGTTATGAGAGGAACTAGAATAACTGCTTGTGTCTCCTATTTTACTTTATATGCTTATGAACTATTTTGCTGCTATCATTTGTTTACCTCTAAGTATGATTCTGTTTTCGAATTTAATAAGGACTTTTAAGAGTTTGAACTTTGAGTGACTCTGATTCAGGGTTTAAACTGAGTGTTCAGAATCTGATTAAGCTCAATCAAAACAAGAAGAAGAAAAAGTAAGTGAAAAGAGAACACAATTCAACCCCCCCTTCTTGTGTTTTTTCTCACCTTCAAATTGGAATAGACAATATTTTTGTTGATTTACAATGTGAAACCAATTAGTTTAAATAAAAAGTTGAAACAAATTTGACATGACTCCACATTACAATTGTCACCTCATTAATGAGGATGCCAGCCATCCAACATTCGAAAGGGACTAATTAAATCCAAAATGATGTAAAGTTCACGAACTTAAAAGCTAATTTTTAAAATAAAGAGACTAAAAATTAAAAGCCATTAAAATAAGAGGACTAAAAATGTATTTAAACATTTTTTTTTACAATAAATTTAAACACTAAAATTATTTAAGTAAGTACATTGATATATTATTGATAATACATTAGTGAGAGACTTAATTGCTTTCTCACCTGACACTTTATTTTTAACCATATAAAAATATTTTAAAATTTGGATCGATCATCGATCCGATCAAGATATTGAATCACTGGGTTAGTGGTCGGAACAATAGGTCGCTGGTTGGGTCGCGTGACTCCTAATTTAGTTTATATAAATTAATAAAATTATTCATGAAATAAAATTTTAAACATAAATTTCATAACTATAAAATCTATGAAAAAAAATTCTTTATTCATGCAATTAAGTAAAATAAAAAGGGTTATGGACATTTTCCCCTGCCAGATGGAAGAGTTTTGAAAAAACCCCATAAAAAAATTAAAATTTCATCCTTGTCATTTTAAGATTCCTCTATGACCTTGAGCATGCATAAGGGGACACCTACTATTAGACCACTTTATTCTCTGTGATTTATTTCCAACGTAAAATATATATATTACATATTTAATATATTTTCAGTTTATTTTATAGTTAATATTACATAGTTAGTATAATTTCAGTTTATTACATATTTCAGTTTATTATATATTTAAATATATTGAAAAATAGACTAAATTTCCGTGTGAAATTATATATTTAAATTATTTATATTTTAATATTTAGATATCTTTTATATAAGAGCATTTTTAATGGGAGTAAACTAAATGGGTAAACTAAGATATTTTTTGTGGGTCCAAAGTGTTTTGTAGGATTTAAAAAATTTATAGTTGATTTGAGTAGTTTTTACTTTAATGATGGTTATAAGAAACCAAAACTTGACCCCACTATTTTTAAATATCATGTCATACTTTAATGCTGCTGGAATATTTTATTAATTAAATAAATAATATTATAATATATTTCACATAGTTAACGTTAACTATATAGATAATGGGAACTAAATTTTAGTTCACTTAGATGTTATGTCAGCTCTACTATAATGCAAATTCTTTATTACTAACGTAAGCTATACAAAATTTTGGTTTAACAACCCTGCACTAAAGTTGCTCTAATTTGTATATTTTTCAAACATCTTCATTATAACTCTTTATTTACTAATATTATTGATCTTCCTTAAATGCAAAGTGAACATTAACTAACATGTGACAAAGAATTATATATTTAAACAGAACAAACTTAACATGATTAATAAATAAGAAAAATCTAAACACTATCCGCTTCTGGATGTTTCAATATCTTCATTATGTCGTATACAGATCTTAAAAGCTTAACATCTAACTCGTCGGTCCCTTTGTTATCCTACGGCGAAATGATCTCTACATTTTCTTCACATCTTCGTCAGTTTTCAACTCAATAAAGTTGTATTTCACCCTCTGTTAGTATCAATCCAATCTTCATAAAAACTCGATCTTTCTCATCTTTCTGTGTTCGTCATGAGGCAACCATTCATTGAACTTGGACGTCAGGCCGACAAGAGATGTGGTGCCATCTGGAAGTCAGAACTCTACAAGAGGAGAAACTCCATTGAAGTACACTTTTGTCTTAATCAAAAATAGAGAAAGAAACATTTTTTGAGATGTGTTTATCATATAACGCGTGACCCCTTATTTATACAATTTTGCATTTACTCTAGACCACACAAACTGTCGGTGCAATCATAACCATCTAAAACTGTTGGCAAAATTCTAATCATCTAAAAAAATCAAACAAATAACACTACCAGAAATTTCAATATATTTAAATATATAATTATCCACCGTCGATCAAAGAATCTGCCAACAAAAATATATTAAATTATTTATATTTCAATATAAATAATATATTTAAATATATAATTTTAATTTACTATTTACTATTTACGTAATATTAACTATGTAATAAACTAAAATTATACTAACGGTGTAATATTAATTATGTAATAAATTAAAATTATATTAAGTATATAATATATACATTTTGAGATAGAAATAAATTATAAAGAGTAAAGTGGCCTACTTGTATGTGCCTCCTTATGCATACTTAAAATCATGAGTTCTATAATTTTATTATTTTTTTATAATATAATTTTTTTTCAACGCTTTTGTTAAGCTATAAATATAATTTTTTTTTGTAATATTATTATAAATAAGTTAAAAAATATTTAATTTTTTTTTAATAAAAATAGAAAAATCAAAATTATAATTAAACTAAAAATAATAAATATAAAAAATCAATTTGCCCAATCAAAAAATTCACTAGTTCATTGGTCTATTCAATAAACCCACCTGATCACATCAATTTTTATTGAATTAATTACAATTATGGTCCGATAACCTTACCAAATCGTTCTACCTTTTAATTTACGGTCTGGTCCGATAACCTTACCAAATCATTCTACCTTTTAATTTACGGTCTAAGTGATACAATCAATTAAAACAATCCTGATTTTAAAACATTACATATAAGTGAGAAAAATATTAAATTAATATAATTAAATTTTCTTCATCTCTTCATGATTATAATAAAAATATAATTTCACATTCACTATGATTAATTTTCTAAACTTTACTTATAATATTCTTAATTATATTTAACGAATCAATTATTAATATCAAATATTCATAATTAAATTAAAAATACATATTAATGATATAAATATTAATTAGTTTAAATATTATTGACTTTTGTTTATAATAAATTAAAATTATTTTTTTATAATAATGACGAGAAGAATCTTATATGTTACCATTAATTTAAATTTAATATACATAAGAAAATAATTTTTTTTTTTGGAGTTTACCACAGTTTCATATATATACTAGTAAAATAACATATAAAAAATTTGAATGTTTCAAGTAAGATAAAAAGGATAACCGAGAAATGAAGATCAGCGGCGGAGTATTGTGTGGAGGAGGTGCTCGCAGCAACGCCGTGCCTCTGTTTCTCAACCACCGCATTTCTTCTCTTCACATCTCTTGTTCCTCCATCTCCGGTCAAATCACCTCTCCACTCCCCTCACCTCATTCAAATTATTTAGTTTTTCTCACTGTTAGCTTCATTCTTTACTTTTCCCGTTGCAGACCATGTTTCTTTTGTAAAGGATGTAGCTGCAACTCAACCGCCTCAGCATCTCTCACAACTCTTGAGTATCTTGAAAACCAGAGGTAACACTATTCCACATTATCTCTTGTCTCAAGTATCTTGAAAGTGTGTGGTATGAAATTTGAAATACTTCTTCTAGGGCTTGATATCGTTTAGGTGATTGATTTTTGGTTGTCACGATTTGTGTATAACAGGCGATACAATAATTTCTCCGGGTGCCAAACAGGGTTTAATCCCCCTTGCTATTCCCCTCTCACAAAACAGTTCTGGTATGTGTATACTAGTTAAGAGCTTTTATAACTAGGTGTTTTTGGATGAACAACTTAATTATGCATTTATAGCATAAACACTTATCATATAAGTGCTTATCTATAAACTATTCTGAAGAGCTTCTGAAAACAACTTGTTGAAATGTCATAAGCTGTTTCTATAAGCTCTTTCAAACTCTAGGACAAATGCTTAAGCGAGTAGATATAAGCCTAAATAAATCGATTCAATATGTGCTAAACCTTAAACTTATGTGTGGTATTGTTGTGAATTTTTTCGCAGGTGCTGTAACTGCGCTGCTGCGATGGCCTACGGCTCCACCCAAGTGAGGCTCCATCTTCATCCTTTTTTATGGATAATTTATTGTTCTGAATCTGATGGTCTCATAGTTGCAAACACCTGCAGATTGGAAATGCCGGTGGTGGAAGTGAGAAAACACGGAGTGTGGCTTTTAGCTAAGACGGTAAGCGAAACACCACTCCGATGGCTATTATTGTTAATTGATAATATTCATACATAGACTAATGAACACTTCATCTTATGTTTATTATGACCATGTAATGAGATTGAAGGATATGCTAGACGGTAATATACACATTGATTAATGCAAGTTATATATTTGCTTCATACAGGTAGACCAATATATTCACAGGATATTGGTTGAAGAAGATGCGAAGGACAGTCAAGAGAGTAACGAAGAACTATTGAATGCTTCAGCTGATGCTGGGGAAAAGCTTTATAGAAAGGGTGATTTTGCAGAATCTGGAATTTCTAACTTAGATGGATATCTTCTAAAAGAGGTATTCATAAATTTGCGAACCTTTATTATCCACTTTCACAATCAAACATTGCAAGAACCTAATATGTTTTTAGGTTGGTATTTTTCCTGATGTCTTAGAGCGCAAAGTGAAGCGGCATTTTGAGGAAGGAGATCAGGTATTGTAAGATTCTTTTGATTTAATTTGTTCCCCAAGTGTTACTCACTAGTCAACTGATGCATATTGACTATGTGTGTGTGTGGAAGGTTTCAGCTTTAATAACGGGGGAATTTTATGCAAAGAAGGAGCATTTTCCAGGATTTGCACGACCTTTTGTGTTCAATGCTGAGATTATGTTGAGGTTGGTTGTAAACAATTTTTATTTGAGTACTTCTTGAATTTGTTCAAAATGAGAAATCTGAACTTACTGCTATCAACTTTATATAGGGTTGGGCGTAAAGTAGAAGCTAAAGATGCTGCCAGAGGAGCTTTGAAATCACCATGGTGGACTCTAGGTTGCATGTATCAGGTATGGATTCTTTACTTGAGTATAAGGTTATGATTTATCTTTCTTTCTTCTTAACGTATTCTCATCTATTTCCTCCTTTTTTCGGGTATTTCTTCCGTGAATTATACTTGTTTAGGACGTTGCTAATATAGCCCAATGGGACGATGAGCAAATTGAGTATATTAAAGAGAAAGTGACTGAAGAGGGAAGACAAGAAGATCTTAAAAAGGGGAAGGCGCCTGCACAGGTTTCGTATAGTGTCAACTATTTATCATGGCCATCAACATCAAACATGCATGACAATGGCATAAGCTGGTATTCATAAATCTATTTCACTTTCAAAACAATTGCAGGTTGTACTTGATGAGGCAGCTTTCTTGTTAGATTTGGCTTCTATAGAAGGAAATTGGGACGATTATTTGGAACAGATAGCCAAAAATTATGAGGAAGCAGGACTCAACGATATTGCAAAATTCATTCTTTATAAATCATAATTCATATGGCAGATTTTTGTCTATCTACAGGTTTCAGAATCTTCCCTGTTCGGCGTTTCCAGTACTTCATATTAGAGTTTTGGATATATTTGCTTGAATTCACACTTCATCATTGGACTCCTCGAATGTCTATTATTTTTCATGCCTTACATGTATGAATAATGACATTAACTCTTAGGTCATCATATATTACATTATGAATGCTCGCATGTGAAATAAGTCAATATTAACCGGATACTTGCAATGTCTCGGTTACTTGCATCCCTTACACCCACAGTCAGTTCTTGGTATGTTATTGCAAGTTGATGTGAGTGTCTCTAGTAAGATTGCATCAACCAAGTGAGCAGCTGCTAAAAATACCTTAGTTAATCAGTTAAGAGAAGTATAGTTAGCTTTGATTAGTGGTGCAAGATATACTGATGGAATGTACTTTCTCAAGTAACATCATATAGTATCATGAGAAAGTGATTATTAGTTGAATGTGAAAAGTGAAAATATTATAGGCGCATTACATTACTCTACATCAGAATTCCACTTTGAGCAATCTGGTATCTTTGGATCATTAACCTTCATATTCCTATATACAGGAAAGCATCATTCTTGCTTCTGGTTTCAGAGCAAAACATCACAACTCTCCCTTACACTTTTTTCATACTTCATTCATTCTATCTATCTCTCATTTCTCATGGCATGACTTGTTCATTTTTTAAGTGTAAAATACATTATTGCGAGTTAAATTTCTCTTTTGGTTTTGACGTTGATTTTGAACGATTATCGTACCCTTTGCAAAATTTGATTTTGATTTACTTGGGATACTCTTGTATTTATTCTTTTAGGAATGTAAAAGTTAAGAAACTCAACAGGTGATGGAATTTTTGAAATATATGAAAGTTAAATGACACGGTGACCTGGTTTTTGAACTTGTTCACACTTATAGCATCCAGGCCAACAATCCCGAGTGGGGTGAGGCTTGAGTAGCTTTGAAGCACCAAAGTCACCTGATTTTGTGAGATTTGTCTCACCTATATGTAATCTCTCATCTAATTTTTTTTTTTCATTTTCTCTATCACTGAATATAACTAAAGTCATCAAAATTACGATACTTTAAAATCACTCAAGCAGGGGTTTTTAAAATCGAATTGGCTCAATAGAAAATTGCTAATTTAACTAAACTAAATTTTGTTGGTGCAAAGATAGAATAAATGATGAAAATAGGGAAATATTTTATTAAAGAGAATGACGGCAGAAGAAACAGGATTAAGAGTTACAATGATTGTCATCCTATTTATAAGCTAAAACTAGGGTTACTAGAATAAGATAAAATACTAAAATACCCTCTAACAAACTTATGGGCTTAAGAAAATAATATAATAAAATATGAATTATTACTAATACCATCCCTTAATTCATATTCCATCAAAACTTGTAACACCAATTCCATCCCTTAATCTGAGAAATTGATCAGTCTTGATAGCTTTCGTCAGAACATCTGTCAACTGCTTCTGAGTGCTGCAGTGTACAACTTCTAACACTCCACTCTGAACTTGATGTCTCAGAAAATGATACTTGGTCTCAATATGCTTGCTTCTCCCATGCAGCACTGGGTTTCTGGCAAGGTTGATTGCAGACTTGTTGTCAATCATCAACTTCAGAGGTTTGTCTACCTTAATCTTCAGATCCTGCAACAGATTCAGAATCCACACAGCTTGGCATGCAGTAACATCACCTGCAATGTATTCAGCTTCACATGTTGACAACGCCACAACAGGTTGCTTCTTGGAACACCAAGAAATGGAACCTCCCAGAAATTTGAACAAGTACCCAGATGTACTTCTTCTGTCAACTCTGTCTCCACACCAATCAGAGTCTGAATAACTCAGAAGTTCTGACTCATTATTTCCTCCAGAGGGAAATAACACTCCATACTTCAGAGTTCCTTTGATATACCTTAGAATCCTGACAGCAGCTTGGTAATGGGACCACTTAGGTTTACTCATGAACCTACTAACCATCCCAACTGAGTAGCAAATATCAGGTCTGGTATTGCACAGATACCTCAGAGAACCAACCAACTGTTTAAAGGTTGTAGCGTCCACATCCTTTCCTTCAGAGTCTGAATCCAGTTTCTGATTTGTATCAGAGGGTGTGACAGCCATCTTACAATTCTTCAGATCAAATCTCTTCAGAAGTTCTAATTCATACTTGAGTTGATGCAAAATGATACCTTTCTCAGAATATCTGAACTCCATCCCTAGAAAGTATGTCATTTTGCCTAGATCAGTCATTTCAAATTCATTCATTAGAACCTTCTTGAACTTGGCTATCTCCTGTTCAGAACTTCCAGTCAGCAGTATATCATCAACATATAAACATACCAGAGTCATATTGCCTTCAGGAGTATGCTGAACATAGACACCGTACTCCATCTCACATTTCTGAAAGCCTTGCTTCTTGAAAAATGAATCAATCTTCTGATTCCAAGCTCTGGGCGCTTGTTTCAATCCATATAGAGCTTTGTATAATCTGTACACCATCCCTTCCTGATTCTTTTTTACAAATCCAGGAGGTTGTGACACGTAAACTTCTTCTTCTAATGGACCATTCAGAAATGCAGATTTTACATCTAAATGCATCAGAGGCCAATTCCTGTTAGCAGCTATTGCAATCACCATTCTGATTGTTTCATGTCTTGCTACAGGTGCAAACACTTCAGAGTAATCCAGCCCAGGTTTTTGTAGAAATCCTCTGGCTACCAACCTTGCTTTATGTTTGCCAATTGAGCCATCTGGCTTTAACTTCTGCTTGAAAACCCATCTGACGCTGATGGCTTTCTTGTCTTTTGGAAGTTCTGTCAGCTTCCAAGTCTTGTTTCTCTCTATAACATCAAGTTCTTCTTTCATGGCCTTCAGCCAGAGCTTCTGCTTAAGAGCCTCCTCTGTACTTATAGGTTCAGAGTCTACTAACATGGCACACTGAATAACTTCTCCTTCAGAGTCTACTTCAGTGTCTTGCAGCATGTCAAATTCTGCAAATCTTCTGGGAACGCTTCTGATTCTTTGTGGTCTCTGAACTTGTTCAGAGTCTTGAGCTTCAGAGTTTCCAGCTTCAGATGGTTGACTTCCTCTAGAGCTTTGACCATCTTCAAGATCTGGCATATTTTCAGAGTCTTGGCCATCTTCAGAGTCTGAATTTCCACCAGAATCTGGATTACCATCAGAGTCTGGATCATCAGAGTCACCTTCATCTTCTGAGTCTTCTCCAGAGTCAGAATTACTATCAGAGTCAGAATCAACGTCAGAGTTTACTCTAACTTCAGAAATTCTTAACTCTGATCTTTCTTCAGAAGTTCTAACATCAGAATCAGATTGAGACTTATCCCAATTCCAAACTTCTGATTCCTTCACAATCACATCTCTGCTGAATTCAATTTTATTGGTTTCTGGACAATAGAGCTTGTATGCACCTGTACTGTGGTACCCTATCAAAATCATCACTTTGCTTCTATCATCCAGCTTCTGTCTTCTGGCTTCTGGAACATGTTTATAGCAAACATAACCAAACACCTTCAGATGACTAACACTTTGCTTGTCTCCAGTCCACTTCTGCATAGGAACTATTTCCTTCAACTTCTTCGTAGGACATCTGTTGAGTACATACGTTGCAGTGGCAACAGCTTCTCCCCAGAGCTTCTGAGGAAGCTTCTTCTCCTTTAGCATGCTTCTCACCATATCAAGCAAAGTACGGTTTCTTCTTTCAGCAAGACCATTGTGTTGAGGGGTATAAGGAGCAGTAACCTCATGCTCAATTCCATTCTCCTCACAGAACTTCTGGAACTCTTTGGAGTTATACTCACCTCCACCATCAGTTCTAAGAATCTTCAACTTCTGACCACTCTGATTCTCAGCCTTCATTCTGAACTTCTTGAATTCATCAAACACCTCGTGTTTGAACTTAATAAGGGATACCCATGTCATTCTTGTGAATTCATCAACAAACAACACAAAGTATTTATTTCCTCCAATTGATGCTACTGGAAATGGACCACACACATCAGAGTGTACAACTCCCAAGGCATGTTTTGCTCTTGGAGCAACTTCTGACGCAAATGGCAATCTTGGTTGTTTTCCTTCCATGCAAAATTTGCATGACTTTTCAGGCTTCTTAATTGCAGGAATTCCATGTACCAATTTCTTTGAATTCAGATGTTGTAAGCTTCTGAAATTCAAATGACCAAATCTTCTGTGCCACAGCTCACTCTCCTTCTCAGTACTTGTTGCACTAAGACACTCTGAGTCTGCAGTTCTGACATTCACCTTGAATGTTCTATTCCTTCCCTGTTCTGACTCCATAATCAACTTCTGATTACAGTCATACAGCTTCAGAAGATTGTCCTTCATGGTAACTGAGAAACCTTTCTCAATTAATTGTCCCACACTCATCAAATTGCTTCTGATGCCAGGTACATACCACACGTTCTGAATCAATGATGTTTTCCCATTGTTCAGAGTCACTCTGACATTTCCCATACCTTCTGCATTAAGATATTTGTCATCAGCACATCTGATCTTTGTCCTCTTTTCAGAGTCAAAGTCAACCAGCCATTTCTTGTTTCCAGTAAGATGATTTAAACAGCCAGTGTCCATATACCACCAGTCTGTCAGATCATCAGATTCAGAGGCCATCAATAGCACATATTCGTCATCAGAACTTCTGGCTATATTTGCTTCTTCTGATTTCTTCTCCTTGTTTGACCAACAATCTCTAGCAAAGTGACCAAACTTCTTACAACAGTAACATTGGATCTTCTTCTTGTCATACTTCCTTTTCCCTTCTGAGCATTCTTTTGTCTATCAGAGGTTGAGCTTTCTGACTTCTGACCACCATCAGATCTTCTCCTGGCTTCTGACTGCTTCTGATACCTCCTATCAGAAGTTGCTTTCAGAGCCTGCTGCTCTACTTCCCTTTCAGAAGTTCTCTCAGTCAAACGCAACTCTTGCGCT